TATTTATTGGATCTGAATGCTGCTATGAGTTCATACGTCTGGTGCTTTTGGTTAGTTTTTTAATCTGGTCAATGTGTTTGATGGATGCACTTGGGCTGTCATTAGTTCATCCCTATGCTTCCTTTTTAGATAATATAAGCACCGACTCTTGTGCCCCATGTAGTTTTTGGTTTTCTTTTGATAATAAGGTTCTTATAAGATATGCTTGTTTTATGTCTGTTCTTAGATGTTTCGGATCTATTGCCGATGGTTCTTTTTTCATTATAAAATGTGGCAGTGTGGTTGCTGCTTTTTAGTTATTATATTTGAAGCTGCAAGCGGATTATTTTTTTATTAGTCTTTAGAACTTTACTCTAGATGTGCCACGAACCAGATTTCTTCTTGTACGATCCTATTCACGAGCTTAATTGGGAAGAAAAAAAAGATCTGACGACTCAACAGCTTTTATGAATTCTCACGAGCTTAATCTATTCTTTGTTTAGTCCTTCTAGACAACTTTTAAAAATGGTGCTTTATCTGCCTTTCATTATAAACATACTTTCATGGATTCTTGAGACAAACTGTAGACTTAGAAATATTTATGTCTACTAAATCCTGTGCTGGTTGTTTTTCTTATGCTAGTTGTTTTAATTATACTTCTACTAAATCCTGCAGGCTGCAAGAATTATTAAACCATTCCTAATTCTATAACAGGAGGTTCTTCTTTATACATTTTTTATAGTACAAGTTGTTAATATGCATAGCATCAGAAACTAATATATGCATTTTTTACTACTTGGTTTGGTAGTTCCACCTGCTGGAACAATTTAATTTCAAAAATGATTTCAGTCACTCATGCGGATCCGACAGGTGGTGGATCCAGGACAGCGGTGGTGCTGCATGGATTTGGGACAATTAGCATGTTTATGCTTGCGATCTCACCTGTTTCAATTTAACATCTCTTTATAGTTTTTTTCTATTCTTATTTTTCTATTGAAATTATTCCTGGATAGCAAAATAGAGATATCATTAATCTTGTGCTAGTACAACAAGTAGCTGAAACATTAGTTGGAGCAGGTCCATCCATTCAGTGGTTGATGTATTGCATTGTGCCCATTCGAGTTACAGCCTTGCAAGTAAAAAAACTGCAGTAGTATCTTAAACTCATGCTGGTAAAATAAAACATGAAAGTGATGCAAGCTGTTCTTGACAGTAGCTCAGTTTTTTCCCTTATATGGTTATGCCTCATGCCATGTTTTCCAGCGTGCTGTGTGTCTGGAGAAGGATGATGCCATGGTCTGGAAAAATAATAGCTACACATGGTCTGAAATCACGAAATGCTGCAGCATTTCAGGACATCATACTATGAGCTCTTATTCAATTGCTTGCAAATGGTTCTCTCAAAGCCCTGCTGTATTGGGTGAATTAGAGTTTTATGTGTACTTATTTTTGTCTTCTAAATAACTATTCTATTACACAGATATCAGGTCATGATGGTGGTACTGGAGCTAGCCCAATCAGCTCCATCAAACATGCTGGGGGGTCCTTGGGAACTTGGTCTTACATAAACAAATCAGGTTTCCTACATTTTTTTTTTGCTGTAACAGTTTTTCCATGAAATTATTTTCTGTTTTGTAATGCTAGTTAACTTCCTCCAGACACTTATACAAAATGGATTGAGAGAGAGGGTAGTACTTAGGGTGGATGGTGGATTCAGGAGTGGTCAAGATGTTCTTATGGCTGCTGCTATGGGGGCTGATGAATATGGCTTTGGTTAACTACTTCCTATTTGTTGCCGAGGAGGTTTGTCATGATTCTCATTACTGATGCTGTTTGTCTTAACCTTGTTCCTTGATTGTTGCAAGACCTGCCTATTTTTTAGGGATAATTGTAACTTTTGAAAATTGGTTAATTCATTTAGGTTCGAGCTGCATTAGCTCAGTTGGGCTATGAGAAGCTGGATGACATCATTGGGCGAACAGATTTGCTTAAACCAAAGCATGTCTCGTTGGTGAAAACACAGCACATCGATCTTGGATACCTCTTATCAGTATGTATTAGCAGCCATTAATATTTGAAGCATTAGCATATCTTTCATGTCCTTTCTATTTAAATCAATGGTTTTTACATCAGAATGCTGGATTGTCCGAATGGAGCAGTTCCCAGATTAGGAGCCAGGACGTCCACACTAATGGCCTGTTCTTGATGAGGCAATCCTTGCAGATCCTGAGGTAGTGTTTTTGATAAGTTTTCTTAGTTACATGGACTAACTTGACTAATGGCTGTCCACTAAACCTGATTTTCCAGTATCATCAATCAAAGCAACTCATCATTCCATGTTCATGAAACTAGAACTGTATTTATGGTCCATGCACAGCCTTAACCTGTCTAAAATGAAGTGCGGTTGCTAGGAACCCAAGTTTTATCCGCTTGGAGCACCATTATTTATATTATCTAATTTGCAGATAGCTGATGCCATTGAGAATGAGAAGGAAGTTTCCAAGGCGTTTCAAATCTATAATGTCGATAGAGCTGTCTGTGGTCGGGTAGCAGGTGTGTCTGGAGAAGAATAAGAGCTCATAGTATTATTTTTTCGTGATGTGTAGCTATTAGATCTAGTTGAGTACTTGACTACATTCATTTTTAGTCTTCGCAAAGCATCTGAAAACTTGTCTCAGATTTGCTTATCAAGCCTGACCAACGCCCATCCTACATGTACAAGTTCAGACATAGATAAGTCATGATGGAGTTGTGCATGAAAAATATATGTTCTGGTCGAATTTGAATTGTAAATTGAATTTTTTTTTTGTGAAAAAATGATTTGTAGGGGCGGTTGGTACTGTAGCCACCCCTACTAATCGATTTGTAGGGGCGGCTGGTGTTCCTAGACCGTCCCTATAAATCGATTTGTAGGGGCGACTACAGTACCAACCGCCCCTACAAATCGATTTCTAGGGGCGGTCTGGGAACCGCTCCTACAAATGCATGATTTATAGAGACGGTATGGTAGGGGCGGCTGGCCGAACCGCCCCTACAAATGCTTATTAGCCGCCCCTAAAAACATATCTGACGTAGTGTGCATCCCAGGCTGTTCCGCGTACAGGGCCCACGTTGGACCTCGTCCTGAGGCCCACCCGTCCCTGCGTGCGTTATGGATCGAGGTGGCGGCCGTTTCTTGGGCACCAAATTCGGATCGGACAGATTTTGAAAACGTGAACGAAGTTCGACGGTCCTCACCGCCAATACCTATCATCTTCAATGTCGCCGGTGCCACTGAGGACATCTCCCCTAGTACCTCAGTGAGAGTACCTCTTGCCACCAAACGCCGACCACGTGTATCCGTTACTGCACAATCGCCAAGGGTCAACATCGGCGATATCCTTGGCCGCGGCAACTTCCCCGACCACTGCGACATCGTCGTCCGCCGTACATCCGTCCAAGCCTTCATGATGTTTCTTACCAACACCAACCTTTGTGTCCATTGAAGCCGGAGACGTAGATGCTTCTACCCGCCGGTGAACCGACGAGTCTTGCAAAGCCATCTCCACCTCGTACAGCTGTGTCTTGGAGAAACCATGAACAGCTGCCTGACGCACCAAATCCGGCGTGTATGGCGACTGAGATGCGACCTCTGAGTCATCGTCCTCCGCCAGTGTCCAGAATTTGGATTTTGTTCCTATGGACGGAGGTCCACTGCTGGGTCGGGTGTAAGCCGCCTCCCGCAGTCACCGACAAGGTGCCATTCGCCGTCCTCATCCTCCGTCCTGTCTCCTTCTACTAAACTGTTAGAAGCACGTACCTTTGTGTCGCTTACCTGGTTCGCCGTTCGCCGGCGGAGGTCCAAGGCCACCGAAGATGAGGTTTGAAGGATAGCCGAGCAGCCGCTGGGCCGCTGCCGAGCAGCCGCCAAGCAGGGCTCCCGCCAAGCAGGGCACCCCTCCGCCGAGCAGCCGAGCAGGCCGGCCTTCCTGGTCCGCATCTTCCTGTTCCCCATCCGGCACCGCATCTTCCTGTTCCCCGTCTGGCATAAGGATTTCTTGCCTTAATACACATACATAGATGCATAGGTTTTATTTTATGGTAGAACACACTATATGAGAGTCAATATCATGTTAGATTCAGAAGAGGCAACTCAGATAATATATTGCATGATTAGATTTAGTTATGACTCAGACCGAGTCTAACCCGGCCTATTACCCCTACATGAGTACTTCATCAAGCATGTTTTCAGGAAAAAAATAAAAATCTGGGACTTTTTGGTTAGAGTTTTTGGCCAAATTATATAGGTGTGGTTCATGGCGACCTTGTTGGTTGGTTCTTGGGCGCATCTTTAATGAGGCTCGAAGTTGGTCAAGGAAACATACAAAGGCATGGTGCTTGGTGAAACAGAGCATGGGCTGCCTCTTGCAGACCTTCTTACCTGCTAACGGCTTATAATGGAGCCACCGGTGAACTTAGCGACACGCGGGAGGCAAAGTTGGGTACTTGGGGCGTCTAAGAAGTGGCGGCGAGTGCATGTGTGAATCGAAGCTAGCAGCATGTGTGAGGCATAGAGGCCTTAGAACCTGAGCAAATCAGAAGAATAAACTATCCACTACGTCCCATACTCCCATTTGCAACCATGGGTTGAAAACGTTTGGAACTTGAAAAGTTGTGACTCCTATAAAACCAAACCAATCCAATGACCCCTTAACCCCAAATCAGCCCAGCTTGTGATCAATACGAAACCGTTTGCCTCCAATCCAGAGCTGATCCACATAGAATCCAGATTGTTTAACCCATATCTACAAGTCAGGATCATGTCAAGCAAGATCACATTTCCAATTTATGAAATCAACAAAACATCCGGTCCTTTGGTGTCATGCAAAAACTCAGAGAACCCTTTACATGTGATTACTTAATTCATCATAAGACTAAAAGTATGGACCAATACAGTACATGGACTGTTGCAGTTCAAAACCCAACTGTAATCAGACAGTGCCCCGATATAATTCACAGGAACAAACTTCATATACCCAAAGTTACGAATGCCTCATTGAATTTGGTAGGGAGAAAAATGGCTTGAACGTCAGCACCAGACCAATCACGGACACCATGTTTAGCATTAGGAACAAGATCTGATCTCCTGCATTTTTTTTGTAAATGAAACAAATATGTGCACTTAATCATTATATTTAGCTTCCTGAAATCCTAAGTAAAGGAAAAAAAAATGGAACAATTGGGGGAGCCATGTATGAGCTGTTTACCTGGTAAGAACAGTCCGCTTATATGCTTCTGAGCCCATGAGAACCTATAAAAAGCCAAGAGATAAATTAAGAAAATCTAATCCATTATCTTAATGCTCTAGACAAAAATAATAACTTTCCAACCATATAAAAGATAAAGATAAGAATATTTACAGAATTCCTGCTGCTGCTGGAGCTACAGCTTTGAACATGGACATCAGAGTAACAGAGATGCCATTAGCAACACCTCTCTGCTCTTGTGTCTGCACATGTTATCAGACAAGTAATAATAAGCTAGAAAAATGGTAACGCTATTGATACAAATAAACTTGCCAAACATGATTGATATGTACCACTGCAGTGTTCTGTAGAATGTTGCACGCAATAGTAATAGTAGCCTGTTTCATTTAAATAATACATTAGTTTTTGTTCATAATAGAATTTACTTTTGAATGATGATAGTTATACATTTCAAAAGATTCACCAAAATAGAATTTGGAAATGCTTATTTACATCAGAAATGCCTTTTCTTCATGCTAGTAATCGATGGCGATAAAAGAGATGGAAGAAATTTGACTCACAGCAAACATGTTCTTCAAAACTGATGCCATGTTGATAAGTATTTTGAGCTCCAGGCCATGTAGATTGGCCATGAAGGGATACGTAGTGAGGAGAATGATCGACAGGATCTGCAAACCAAACATGCATTTGAATTCAGCACTGAAAAAAAGTACACTAGGGAGGGTGCGAGCGTCCATGTATATCTCTTATGACCACCTATAGGGTGCCGTTAAGGCGTGTTGTATTGAAATTTTTCTCTATCTTAATACAAAGACATGCAAACATTTTACGTAATCGAGAAAAAAAAACATGCATTTGAATTCAGCACTAAAAAAGATGAGTCAGATTAAAGAAGTTATCCAACATAGACAAATATCTGCTTCATACATCCCTTTTAGAAAAAAAAACTAGGAACCCCCCTACAGTTTCCATGAAAATAATTAATAAATAGTCTCCCCTTCCTAATATTTAGATCTATATCTAACAATTTTGATTTGATACAATTTATCAATTGAATATTTGTCTCCCCCATACTATCTATTTTATTAAGATTCTTTATTCTTTACAAGTTTACAAGGAAACCATCAAAGATGCATTTCTCACGTACCGCCGCAGGCCGAAATGTCTTGATTGGTCCAAAATACTTTGCAAGGAAAGGATAAATAGCAAGTTGGTATACGAGTACACCAAAACCTACCAAGATCAAATGAATTGTTGTCATGTAAATAATCTCAACAGCAATAACTTTGTAGCATTGTTACATGTGCAACCATTTCATTGGAACTATAATTCAACATCCCAAGGCTAATAATATCACATGGAAGATTTTAAATGCATTGGTTGATTTATATACCCATAGTTAAGTAATACTCAAAAGCATTTCACTATTTACTAGAAGTGGTTATGTGCTAATTTTACTCCTTTGACAAGGTATTTTGCTTCTCATGTTAAATATTTATTAGCTTAAAACTTGGAAAAATACCACATACCTGAGAAGGCTAGTACAGTACCAACATCCTGGGATGTCAAACTAAGGCCCCGAAATTTTCTACTGCTCACAGCCCATAGTGAAAATATCTAGAAATGGTTTTACAATGGTATTAGCATTAGCATATACATCTTATTAGTAGTTACTTCAAGGGCTAGAGTGAAAACATCCTCTATTGATGTTTTAATGAAGAAGTTAGTTTGAAGATATCTTGAGGTTGAGAAATATATGATAGAGATTACCTCGAGATAAGCTGTGTCATGCAGGGAAAAGATACAATAGAGGATTATTGCTGACATCAATTGCCAATTCTTTAGCAGATTTTTTGTAGATTCGGAGTGACCAACTTGTGCCTCCAGTTCTTCAATAGCTTCTAGTTTGGCATCATCATGAAAATGTAGCGTTTCCTAAGAAAATGGGATAAAATTCTAAGGAATGTTCTCAATATCTTAAGAGAACTTCAAAAGAATGATTATTTATCTAACTACAAAAAAGATGTATTGAATGGTGGAATATAAGTCCAAACATATTTCATTTATTTTTTCCTTGAGAGGATCTAACTATCTGGATTCAAGATAGAAAATAATAGGGAAGATGATGTGGCATACCGGAAGCCAAATGCATGCAATACATGATCCTGCTGCTAGTAATGATATTACGAAGCAAGGGAGGAAGTATGGAAACCTGAAAATTAGATGCAAAATTTTGATGGTTTATAATAGTCTAAAAACAATGAAATAGTTATAGGATAGAAATGGTCAGAAAAATAATTTACCTCCCAAATATGGACTCTTCGGAGAAAAGATTTGGGTACTTTTGTGCAGGCTAAAACATGATAGAGCATAGACAATGTTAGTCATGTGTATCTTTGCAATAGTTTCTTCATTTAATCATAAGATGCAAATATTCACCCCACTCATTAAAGACCATAATCATAGTTATTAACAACCTGGTAAAAGTGCGAAATTAACCAAAGAATACTCCCACCATCCGAAAATACAAAGTATCCTAGGAACTCTAGGATAGATTACCATGTAAAGGAAATGACGCCTGCAACCTTCACTTAATCATAGAATGTATTGTTATTACCTTATTTTGAGCTAGTGGTTGACAATAAACATTAATGGTAGGTATGTGTGTGATTTAGAGTGAGTTATTTCACCTAAAATCTCTTATAAATTTTAAAGAAAATTTGAATAATTTGATACCTTACATTTCAGGACGAATGGAGTATATTTACTCCAAATGTGTTCCATATATATGGGCTATTTTTACAATATAGTTTTGGATGAAACTCTTGACTTCAATTTGTATATTTTTGTTAATTACTATCCTCTTTTGTACACATCAGAGGTCAATTATGATTAAGGGATACATGATGAAGGCATTAGCATTTCAAAATTAACTTATATTGCTATCGAAATTCCATAATCTTCACCTGTGCAAGAAAGCCTCCAATTGCTGGCCCAATAACAAGAGCTATCGCTCGTGAAGATGTAACCTATGACATAATTAATGTCAGACACAAGTTAGTTACAAATAAAATAAACACAAAAAAGAATTATTTAAAAAGTTGAAAAAGGTTACAAAAGGATTGCTCCTACAAGAGAGATTCCCAGAGCTTGATGCTCTTTCCTGCAGACTTCTGAAGCATAAGCCTAGAAAATGCAGATGCAACCATGAGAACCTAAGACATACTATCATTTACAAATATTAGTCTAGCAATCCATGTAGTTAATTTGTTACCTTGATGGGTCCTAGTATACCACATAGCAACCCAAGTAATCCCCTAGTTACAATTGCCATCCAGTAAGTTGTGCTAAGTCCAAAAAGTGTGTTGAACACAATCCTGAAAAGGGAACCAAAAACAATATTTACTAGGGTCTTGTTAAATTGAATGCTAAGGTTGATATCACAATTTGACTTCATGATCCGTACACTGAGAGGATGCTGATCACAATGCATGGCTTCCTTCCATACTTGTCAGCAAACATGCCCCATGGCACGGCACTGATGGTTCTTCCAAGGAAATAGGTAGCCCCTAACAGAGAAATTAAATACAACCACTGAGACAGTAGACAGCTAGCACTGATGATAAACCATAGTCAAATGATGATTGTAGCAGCAGGTGTACTAGACTATTCGCTGAAAATGCACATGCGACTTTATGTGAAGAGTATGAAACTGAGCCTTGAAATCCCAATCGTGAAAGAAGACGCTGCTCACCAACAAAACCAGCATAAAATCCAATGTCTTGCTCTTCTTTTGCCACTTTCAAGTCCCTGATCTGTTTGATTGCAATAAAGGTGAATGTTTGATAGCCATTTTTTTTGTAAAACAAATGATGGAACAGAGCAAGTATTCTGCACGTTAATGAAAGTAAAGATTCTGATCTAAAACATGCATGCGTACCATGAAGTATAGATAAGGGAACAACGACTGGATCGGCAGAGCTGGAAAGAGAAAAGGTGAGGTATTAGTCACTGAAAAAAAACTGACAAGTCCATTCAGTAAAATAACTGATAAGAAGATAGAAACATACTTTGGACATACAAGTCACTGAACTGAAAATATACACGAGGCAAGTAACACGTGCACGCAGTGTTCAAAATGAATATTTTTGCACTATTATTATATATATCACTACAAAAGTTTAGCAGGTCAATCATAGGTGTACTTACTAGCTTTCACTAGTGATGAGATGGATGAAAACAAGTACACAAAATGAATATCAACTAAAATTGAGTACTAGAGCACGACCCTGACGAAACAACCTCAACATATAGTCCTATATACTAAGAATATATAAGCATCAACACACTTATTGATACGCACATGTCGGCGCTTAGCAGCAGGAATTACTCTTGCATATATTGCTAAAATTCACTCATCGTTGTCTTGCTATAGAGGATATAGAAGCAGTTCTTCTGAACGATCACATGATGTTTTAACTTATCCGACATTCAGATCAGCGAAAATGTCCATTATATTGTGGTGATCATTCAGAAGAACAGATGGATACTATTATTCATACAGGCACAGAGGCAGGCGATCCAAATGTAGAGGAAGTCCGCGTATGGGATCCCGTCAATGGCCTGCACCTTCCTCTCCTGCCTGCACCCAGGGCAGCGCTCGCGCCATACGGCCACCTTCCCGCCGCCGACGACGAGCAGCGACGCCTCGCCTACGCCGCTGGCCATGGTGGTCTGAGCACCTGACGAACGTCGTCAGGACCTGGATAGCGACTTGGTGAGGACGACCGCGGTGGTGCACGTCGTGTGGCTGTCCCTGTCGGGATCCGCATGCTGGCAAACGAGAGCTGCTGATCTCAAATCGGGGGTGTGATGCGTTAGTAGGAATTCTGACCTCTGGAGCTCTCATTTTTCTTCCTTAGTTATCGGGGTTTTGTCGTTTGTTTGGCTAAATTTAGGTGGCGGGTTCAAGGGGTTGGCTGAGTCTGTCCCGTTTGGAACGGCTCCATGTCCTTCATCACTGCCAAGTGCCAAGTACACGGGCATGTCCGATGCATTGGATTCGCAGGGAAAAATAAGTCCGGTGCATTGGGCACACTGATTTCTCACCCATGCGTTCAACATGTATTTATGTTAATTAGGTCAGTCTCATTTGAGAGTTTCATTATGCTGTTTTCAAAACTGTTATATCATATAAAAGAAGCACGTGCACATCTCTCGAGCTTTCAATTTATTTTCTCGCACTCTAATTTGACCCTCACTTCATGCAATGTAACGGTGAAGTCAATACTTACCTTTGTTCTAGGAAAATACATACAATTCTAAGTTTAGTCAAATTTCAAATTATTTTGAGTTGACTAAGTTTACTAAAGATATTATCAACATTCATGACTATAAATCGATATAATATTATATTACATTGCAAAAAATATAGTAATACATATTGTATAATATCTGATGTGTTAGTATCCGTGTATGCATAGACTTTATTAAAATTAGAATTAAATTCTTTTTGAGATATAGGGAGAGAACTATGTGACGTGTTTGGTTTAGATAAAAAAATAAAATGAGTAATAGAATCAGATTTCAATAGAATATAGGAAGTTAAATTAAAGATATAAGTGTCTATTACACTTTCTCTTATTTTGTCCGAAAATATTTTCGGTAATGCTGCTATCAAGACGTCCATCCGTCCAGATAGGACGGACCCGCCTCGCGCGCGCCCCTGCGCCTCAACTCGCACTTTCCTAAAAAAAACTCGCACCTCGCAAGGTCGCATGGAACCGCCTTGTGCCCCCGCGCCTCCCCGCCTCGCGCCATGCGCCCCTGCACCTCGCGCCTCGCACGGTGGCACTAGACCCGCCTCACGCCGCGCACCCCGCCCGTGCCTCGCGCCGTCTGCGCCTCACGCCCCGCTCGTGCCTCACGTTGCGCTCCCCCACGCCGCGTCAACTAGCCTCCATTGGACAGCAGCAAGTAGATGAGCACATGTTGCAACCGTATGTTTCATGCGTTTCAGATGTATGTTGCATATGTTTTATCTGGATATTGTAAAAGTAGATCTGGTATTGCATATGTTGCAATGCTCTATACGTATGTTGCAAGTGTATGTTTCAAATGTTTCAGCTGTTTCAAACGTATGTTGCAAGTGTTTTATCTGAATATTGCATATGTTGCAGTGGCTATATATGTATGTTGCAAGTATGTTCCAAATGTTTCACCTATTTCAGACCTATGTTGCAAGTGTTTCATCTGAATATTGCATATGTTTCAGACATATGTTGCAAGCGTCTATTTAAAATATTTCATCTGTTTCAGACGTATGTTGCAAATATGTTTATCTGGATGTTGTAGTTGCTATACACATATGTTGCAAACGTATGTTTGTAAATGTTTCACATGTTTCAGACGTATATTGCAGAAGTGCTTTCATGTTACAACATTAGCAGGTGTAGGAAGCGGGTACAAGCAGATGCGGTCCCCACCTGCATGCGCATCAGTAGACATGAGGCGGGGCATCAGCAGGCATGAGGTGGTAATCAACAGGCACAAGGCTTACAACTACATGTGTAGACGCACTAGCATGCAAGGCGGGTTTGCTAGACGTGCAGACGCAGAGTTGCATGCGGGCATCAGTTGGATGTGGGGCAGGCTTTTCTTAAAAGAGAAACATGCGGAGTAGATAGAACGGGCACAACTGGCGGGGCGGGTATGGGCATCCAGGCGCGTCCTCGTTGTGAAAATATTTTAGGTTGGCGAGGGATGGAGCCACGCGGGCATCCGGCCACGAGCAGCCACCGCGACCTCAACCTTTTGTCGGCACATGGACCTGGCATTGGCAGCGCGCTCGCGGTTAATTCCTCTTCCTCCCCTTTGGGAAAACTGTTGCCCTTGTGGTAGTACATTATTACTTTTCTTAATTTGGGCGCTCCGCTAGTAGATGGCGTTTCTTCAGATTTCTATTAATGTCTCAAATATTTGTAAAAAAATATTTCGTGATACAAAAGCAGCTCAATGATGTTGCCTTTCAGAATCAGAAAGGAAAAAAAAAGACCTGCCCGCCTAAAATTGCTAACTCGCTCTAGTAGAGTCATCGGTGCGACGGTACGGTGCACGCAGGCATCATCACCGGCGAATATATCAATTATTATATTAAATCGTCTCTAGCTATATCTTCAAGCACTAGCACTAGTATAATCAATATAATAAAATATACTCCTACGCAAACAAAAGCTGCATGCAGCAGCTAGTAACGTAACGCCATAGCCGCAGTGCAGCACGCGCTTACGAAAACGAAGCAACCAAGAAATTAATTAACTTAGGGAGGGCTCTCATCTTCGTAATCGTACATACCGGCGGCGAGGCAGACGACCCAGATGTAGAAGAAATTGAGGTAGGGGACGCCGGTGTTGGTCTTGTTCGCCTCGTCCAGCCGGCACCCGGGGCACCCCTCGTAGCACTGCCTCCTCCTCAGCAACGGGGCCGACGCCGCCGCCGGACCACTCTCGCCGCCGGCGGCCATTCGCTCGATCGATCGCCTCCTCTCGTCGCGATCGAGCCTGGCCGGAACAAGAAGAAGGTAGCTACTACGACGACGTACAGGCCGCTACAACAGGCCTGATCTATCTCCCCTCCTTGCCTTGAAGAGTAGTTAGAGCGGCAGGGATATATATTGCAGTGCAGGGTGTCTAGCAAATGCAGTGGTGATGAAGCAGCCAGTAACGCGCCTAACGTGAGCGAGGCCTTATTAATAAATAGTACAATGCATCAAGGCCTGCAATGCGGATTTCGGCCCGTGTCTTATCGATCATTAATTTCTGTTGAGTGGTGGTGACCAAGTACAGAACTGCAGCCGCACTGGTCCATCACGATTCAAGAATCACGAGTTGTGTCGCTGCATGCATATTGTGGCCTTTTTTTTTTGCTTCGTTGAAAAAACAAATCAAAATCACTGTTGTGACTGATTTGCTGCGAGAGAAAAATATTGTTTTATTGAAAAAAAAGAAGCTAAAAAGTACATATTAAAAAGAGAAGCAATGGACAGATGCACAGCACGCGTGCAGGGGCCGGCAGTCTCGTGCACGGCTGCCGAAACGGAAATCGATCCATCATCCATCGATGGACGGCCGTACGCACGCAGCTTCTTCCAGCCACGGTATGAAAGACACGGACAGTGCAGTGGCGGCATGCGTGCACCGCCAATTCTTGGTGACAACAGAACATTTATTAAGTGAGCCCATGGTAGGCAGTCTGAACTCAAAACTAAACGAGATGGTTCCTATACTTACCAAAATCTTATAAAAACTTTACATAGAAACATATTTTTAATAGATAGTTTTTTTTAAATAATTTTTTTGTCCAATCACATATCTTTTCTCCATTATCTTACCTATTAAATCTTTTCATGTCTCTTTGTTTCCGATGTAGACATAGTTTTGTTATCTAAGTGTCATGACTTCTTACATCTACAACTTCTTTTAGCATACTCCCTTGGTCCCAAAAAAATACAACTATGAGATGCGCGACAGTTAAACTAACTTAAGTTTGATTAAGTCTATAATAAATATTATCAATATTTATGTCTCCAACTGAGTTTACTACAATAATATATTCTACAATTAATTTAATGATACTTATTTTATATTATGAAGGTTAACATTATTAGGTGTACCTTTTGCCAAACTTTAAACTAGTTGACTCTTAAAAAAATGAGAATTGCTTTTTTTTTTAGGACAGAGAGAGTAGTAGAAAACTGAGTCAGAGCTGGTCAAACCATAAAAGATGGCTTTGTATGCTCCATCGCCTCCACCTCATTTAGGATATGGAAGGTTGCATAGTATATCCTGCATGAGCGGGCGTGCAGGCTGAGTGGAACTATATTTCAGAAAAGAAGGCGTTTGATGAGGTTGCATGAGCGGATGCAAAAAAATCGAGATGTTTTTTGGTTGCTTGCATGAGCAAATACAATTTGTCTAATATGTGAGGGTGACATGTGGGTCCATCCTCTACAACCCGTATCTGTCAGGCTAGGCTCTGCAGTGACGCTTAATTTAAACATATCCACCGGGCCGGAATGAGACAGTATGACCTATATGAGCGGAGTCAAGCTGAAATAGTGGAGCAGGGCAACTAAACAGGCTTTTGTTGCTACGTATACGGATGGGAAGAGCCAGGATAGGATGGAAACGAGAAACCAAACACACCTTAGAAAAGGAGAGAGATATATAGCTCTTGCTACCATAACGTATCAGAAAGAACCGGAGCTAGAGTTGAAAAGAGGTACTATGCCAAATGGGGCGGCCTAAAAGAGAATGTAGGATGACGTTACACGCCCACATATATACTCCGGTGATGCACATCTCGATCTTATTGGGTCGTCACAGTTGAAACTCCCTCTATAATTCAATTTATAGCCGCCTTTAAAAGTGTTATAAAATATGTTGTCAGCAGTTTGGACATTTTTCTCTCTATCTTTCATGATCAACACAATAGATAAAAGTAGAAGAACAAATAGACACGAAATAGAGAGACTATTCTTTATTCCTCTGAATATACCGGTGATTACAAGATAGAGCTCTTACGTATATATAGTCCTGCCAAGGCTTAAGAGTTTGGTAAAGCCCACATATAAACAGACTAGGATTAGAATTCCTCCTTCTCCTTTTCTTCTAGGATAGAGTTCGTATGTTTTACAACACTCCTCGTTGGGCGATTACCACGATATGCACATGCCTCGTTAAAAACTCCATCCGAAAATCCAGTGGAAAAAAACGGTTCTTGAAGAAAAGAGTACATCACATTCGTTAATTGCATTGCACATGTTGTCTCATTAAAAACCTTGTGTGAGAAACCTTCAAGTAAAAACTCACATAGGAAAAAATAGTACAACATTTAACCTTCTTGGTCATGTACACTTCAGGATATTCTATTCTTCGTGAATAAATTTTTATCTTCATGATAAATGCATAAACTTTCATGTTTTAGCAAAATAATCTACTTGATTTTTGTAATTCTAGTGGTTTTAATTATCTTCAAGCTAGATTCAATTAAATTGCTCTCCCTCATAAAGCCATCCATTGAACATCATTGTTCAAACCACACCTTTCATAAAAAGTGTGCTTAATAATGATATACAGTACCACAATACTATATCTTTCAAAATATTGGCTCGTAATTTTTCTATGAATTATAATATAAGTAAACAAGATCAATATGCTCCATATATAAATGACCACTTATCAATTGTGCAAAACAAATAAAATTTATCCTTCAGTATAATAAATCCTTAGAGAGGTATCTTCTAGATAGTGTATCAAATTTATACTAGAGTTTAACTACTTATAATTATTTCTCAGTGGATTTTCAAATTATATGTTCTATAAATCTTTAGGATTCTAATTGTAGCACTAAATAATAAATGTAGTCTTGCATTTGGCATTTAGGGGATAATTCAATTGCCAAAATCATCATTTTTCTTATAACTTCTACGGTATTTAAAGGATATCACTACTTCATTGCTAGTTTTTAGTATGCACTCTCTGAGTGTTCATATGACACCTTCATGGTGTTTAGGATTCCTCATTTTCTTTCACTCGGGTCTATATTTACTTCAAGGATTAATGGTGTTAATTCAAGAATCAACTGGTAAATCCTTTATGGATTAATTCCTTCTAGGATGTTCTCATCTTGGGTGAATTATATTTCTCTTCTATGAGATATATTCTCCACTGCATAAGAAATTATTATAAGATATACATAATGATAGTGTTATTCACTATAAAGTCATTTAATGACTCTATTCCTTCTAGGACATGCTCTTCTTGAGACTTCGATATTCATTCAGGAATATATTATACCTTAGACTTCTTAATACTTAGTATGAGATTTAATTTTCATATGTTGCGATTTCTATTCTTCGGGAACTATATGGATTTCTAGAATCCACTTACTACCTGCATATTTCATATTCATTCATTTTGTTTGCCAGAGATATAGCAGAACATTTATTTTCTTCTTAGTAGGAGATTCAACCTCAATTGTTTTCTTTATTGATCCGATATAATCGCTACAGGTGACTTTACCATGGACTTTGTTTTCTAGATCTGGGTTCTCATAAGAGAAACATTTATAATTATAGAGGTAGCATTGTCAACAACTATTATTTTCTCTCAATATTCTCACAATGTGAGATTATTATAGCTCTTTGTTATTTTCCAAACAAGAGATGATTTGTTGTTCTGCATACCCAACACTAATAATGTGCGCGCCTAGTGTGTTGGATTTCATCTTCATGAGGTGCTTAACCTTCTTCATGAGGTGTTCTCTTCACGAGAATGGAGGAGTTTGTTCTTATTTTATTTAACAAATATGCACTAAACTAGAACCTATAGGCGTCCCCATATATTTTAGCTTGATAGCATATAACATTTAGTTTACTACTAGTAAACATAACTTCTAGTTTATAACTTTAAGTTACTCCTCTCATTTTCAAAAATATCTGACATATGCTCCACTTCATGCTTCATAAGAGTATTAGTCAAACTATTGTTTAATTTAGTGCGTGATACTATTCCTGCTTCAAGCTTCAACAAATATTTTCTCTTAAGATCATTTTTCTTCTATAAAAATAATATTTGGCATTCAACATAGGCTTTCTCTCCCCCTAATGCCAATATTAGATCTTTAATAGCATACTTTAAAAGATATCCCTGTGATGGGCTTAAAACAATGTAAAAAATAGCACGCTATAGCGGCCACAAGCAGCTGCCGCCACGATATTGCACATATTTGCTCTATCTCCGCTATCACCGCTATAGCGCACAATAGCGCCGCTAAACTGAATAGCGTAGCATAGCGTGTAGCGGCGTTATTCCATGGTTCATAGCTGTGGGCCAAAAACTAAAGCCCGATCAATTTTCGATGCTGTCCAGCCCACTATTGGCCCCCGTAGGCATACAAAACCATCGCCAGGCAGCTAGAACCCTAGACGGCACCATTCCAAGCACGAGTGTGGCACTACTACAGAATAGTACTTCACTGCCGGTTCAAAACACCTCATCACTGTCGGATTTTGAACCGGCACAACCATACCGACATTGATGAGGGTCAGCTATCACTATCGGTTGCTACAAACCGGCAGTGTTCTTCAACTTCATTGCTGGTTCTTTACACAACCCGACAGAGTTTAGTTCCACCATCACTGCTGGTTCATGAGACCACCCGGCAGAGTTCAGTTCCACCAATACTATCGGTTTATATTTTAACCGGCAGTGTTGTCATAACCAGCACTGTTGGTTTGTGGCTCAAGCCGACAGTGCCATCTTGGCCATGTATCACTGTTGGTTTTAGAAAAAAACCGACAGTGATAGGCCTGACAAACAGCTACCGCTGCCGTAGGCGCTCAGTTTTTATTTTTTTGAAATCAGAGCCACTGCCGCAGGCTCTAGATAAAAAAATAAAAAAATTGTCCCGCTCTGGTTTCGAACCGAGGGAGCGAGAAAGAGGGATTAGTGGCTTAACCGC